AAAAAAAAAAAAAAAAAAAAAGTTTTTGTTTTGGAAAACATGGTTATTTTTCATCAAAAAAAGTTAGCATGGTGAACTTATTGCTTTTAAATGAATTGATATTTTTTTAAAGCTCTTGGCTTTAATTTCTTTCCTGGTGAATGTTGACAGGACCCAAACAAAAAGCTCTTTGGGGTCCTCAACAGCTTTTAAGAGTTAAAGGGGTTCTGTGGCCACAAACTTTGAGAACAGCTGCCCTGTATTATAGTGGGGGAAAGAGAGGAAAGAACATTAAAATGGGTGAAGTATAGCAAAATCGGTATGACGCAGCAGGGTTGCAAAAGAACAGATGCTGTGCTTTCCATGACAGATCACGGGACGGCTTGTCCCCTCTGTGACTCCACACTCCCTTTGTCCTCTGCAGGCCCTTGGGTTAGTTGGGTTACTTAACCCGGTGGGGTCACTCACACCGTGGGACCTGAGCCCACTCTTGGTCCCTGCTGCTGGCTTTCATTTCCCTAGAACTAAGAGGAGCCTAGGGGACCTCCCCGAGTCTGGCCACAAGCCTCTCTCCATTTTGTGGCAGCGACGCTATTTCCCCTCGATAGTCCTTCCAAAGGGCAGTTGTGTTGGCTGGGGTGGTTGGTCCTGACCTCCAGGAGGAAACGGGGATAGACGGCCACTCCCCAGGGCGCACAGGCCACCTTCTCTCTGCGTTTATAGGATGTCCTGTTTATTAAATAGCTTGCGGAAGGGCGGGGCAGGGGAAGTGGTTCTGAAGCCTTTCTCCACCACAGCAGCTCAGCTCTCTGCTCCCCACAGCTCCTACCTCTCCCCTCCCGTGTGTGTGTCCTCTCACCCTGCACCAGGCCTCCGCCACAGCTGACCTGGGCCTCAAGCTCTCTCCTGGGACGTGAGCAACACTCCTGTGCAGAATCTTGGGCCATGTGTCCATCACATCTCTTGTCCTGCCAAAGCCCTGCTGGCTCCCCCACCCTGTCTGTCACAGGGGCCTGCCCTCCTGGACAGGTGCCTCACCCGACCCACCCACGAGTGACACCAGTCCTCCTTCTTCTTCACCACGCTGTGACCCTCCCCTCTGGCCTCCCTGGGGCCTAAGCCACTCTCTGGAGCTGAAACGTGACATGTGGCAAAAGTTCCATCCCTCGAGGCCACCCTGGCATTTTGACCTTGCCCTTCCAGGTTTTAACCAGGGGCAGTGAGTGGGGTGGGAAGTTCAAAGACTTGCCCACCAGCCTAGACCTTTCCGGGAAGCCAGCCCCCACCACCCCGCCTGCTGGGTAACCAGCTGCCAATGAGAACAAAGTCTGGGCCTTCCCGCACTTGGTGGCAGTTGCCCCGGGCCAGTGCTGATGTCCAGCCAGGGCTGCCCCTGACCCGCCCCTCAGGCTGCCCTGCCACACCCCAGATACACCAACCTCCCACTGTGAAGCATGTTTAATGACAGGACTCCCTGGCTGGCACAGAGGGGGCCTTGCTGTCCTTGCTGTCCTGGTCATTTGAACATTACTTAAGGCCCCTTTCTCTGCTCAAGCCCTGGCTTGCCTTCTCTCTGTTCCACCTCCACTTAGCCTCCCACTCTGTCCTTGGTCCCTGACCACATTCTTGTCCCTCTGCATGGGACACCCGAGCCTGGTCTCCTGGTTGACCTTGAGGACTGGGCCAGACTCTGCCCTAACCCGGGGGTGCTCGCGGTGACTCACAGGAGCTCTAACAATATCAAGCATATTCCCAAGAGCTGGGAGATCAGGGCTGTGGCCACCTTGGCCCAGGCCCAGGCCTCAGGAGTCCAGACAGGGCCAGGCGTCCGGTCTGGGATTGTCTCTGTTGGCCACCATCCTCCCAAAAGACTTTGGGCAGAAGTCACGAATGGGACAAGGGGCCTTGCCTGGGATGTCCCCGAGGCCCTGTCTACCCATACATCCCACTTGGGACCCCTTAGCAGGTAAAAAGGGATCATTTCAGAGCAGGCCATGTGGGCCATCCAGTGTTCCACTGGTGGCCTGGGCCAGTCCCCGGGGTCCATGGGAGGGAGAGGCCTAGAAAGGAAGAAGGTTCAGGCCCTGCCCTGAAGAGAACAGCATGCTCCCACACCACAATGTTAAGCAACAGTTGGCCATGGCCAACAACACAGTCTTAGCTCAGGCTGCCATAACAAAACATCATGAACTGGATGGCCTAACACAGATTTATTTCTCATGGTTCTGGAGGCTGAAGTTCAAGCCCAGGGTGCCAGGGTGGTCAGACTCTGGTGAGGACCCTCTTCCCAGCATGTAGATGGCTACCTTCTTGCTGTGTGTCCTCACATGGCAGAGAGAGAGGAAGCAAGTCTCTTGTGTCTCTCTCTCTTTTTTTAATGTTTATTTATTTTGAAAGAGAGAGAGAGTGAGTGTGTGTGTGTGTGTGTGTGTTTGTATGTGTGTGTAAGCAGGGGAGGGGCAGAGAGACAGGAAGAGAGACAATCCCATGCTGTCAGCACAGAGCCTGATGTGGAATTCAATCTCACGAACTGTGAGATCAGGACCTGAGCCGAGATCAAGAGAGTAGGACACTTAACTGACCGAGCCCCCCAGATGCCTCTCATGTCTCTTCTTACAAGGCACTAATCCTATCAGGGGCCCCATCCTCATGACCTCATCAGAGCCTAATTGCCCCATCCCCAGATATTGTCACATCGGGAGGTGGAGCTTCAATGTATAA